ACCTGACTAGGCTGAGTAAGCAAGATGTTCTAGCAGGTTCCATCACAGAGGTATAAGTATAAGGCCTACTCTGCCTGGGGACTGTCTCTTCAGACTTGGTCTCTTAGGATCATCCACAGGTACCTATACTGTAGATAGGTCTTAGTCATCAGGTCTACTCCACTTCCTTGTTGCCTGCTTAGACTCTTGGCACTCTTAGGTGAGCAGACTTAGTCAGCCTGTGTTGCCCTAACAACACCTCAGGCTCCATAGTTAAACTCTCCTCCACGGGCACCTCCTCCCCCTCAGGCTGTGTAGTCAAATGTGCCCCCCTTGGCACCTCTTCCCAGTATGACTGCCAGTCATACCCACGCCTGGCTTTACATTGGTCATTCAAATAAGTAAGTGATCCATCAAACCCAGGAACTGCCCATACCTTGGTTCTGGCCTCTCCATTGTCTGATACACCTTCAGTAACAGTTGACACACTGCATAGGCATGCATACTTATAGCTATGCAGTTGTACTTCCTTCCCAACAGCAAGGTCTTATGTAAGGGTCCATATACAACCCCATAATCTCCTTTTTAGGTAGGATTGCCTTGCAGAGGCAATCATGATTGTCCTTGGACTGACACATAGTGGGTGGCTGTAGGCCACCCTTCTCTCTATCCTTTTACTACACATAATGTATTGCTACTAGATAGTAATACATTTGATCCGTGTATGTATTGAGGCTGTAAGGGCATAGTAAGCCCTTTCACTTTTTTACATGACTCCAACAAGAGTTTAATAAGGAATAGAGTGAGAAATGCTCCATGTCAGATTCTAGTCTCCATATTATGGAGACCTGCTAAAAAATGGCAGGACGCCTTCTGCCCAGTAGAAAGACTGAGGTCAGTCCTAAAGGCAGCTTGGGACCTGGAGTTGTGGATACTCCCACAACTGTACCAGGCTCTTCAAGCTTTTCTGAACTCAGAAATAGTCAGAATGGGTTTCTGGGCAACAGGAACCTGCATGAGGAGATCAAAGTACTGATCTCACTGCTCCTGCTCAAAGAGAGCAAATGGAAACTGAGGATTCCAATATGCTATTGGACAAGGATTTTTTGGCCAATGGTGCTTTGAATAGAAGCAATAGTTGGATTCTAACTGGCCTGATTGAAACAGGGGATCAATTAGACCCCTGTGCAGATTTGAGTTGGATGCTTGACATCACAGACTCTTCGCAACACTTGATTGCAGAGCTAAATACTCTGGCTATGGCTAGCCAGAACCTGGAATGCATACAGAGGTACATGGAGATGGCATGGGAGATGTTGAGTCTCTGTATAAAAGATGTGGCCTATGGCTTTGGGCCACAACCAAGTCTCTCCCAATCTGGGATGGGATTGCAGATGTTGCCTAACTTGCCATGTTTGCGAATCCCTTCTGGGGAAGAAGGATCCAAAGCAGATCCTGAAAGAGTATCCTTAAAGGATGCTACAGAGTTTGAAGAGACTCTGCTAAGAGTCCCTCCCACCCCTCCCAGTATGGAGACAAGGAAAGAGCCCTCTCCAAAACTTTGTTTTGATTTGGACCAAGAGGGTCCATACACACCAAAGTTCCCATTTGGGGACCTCCCTGATGGTTCCACATGTTAGAACCAATGGTCCACTACTTGTGGACCTTACAGCACTCCTATGTTTAGGAGCAAAGATGATCTCCTAGGAGGATCAACAATTCCCACCACTCCTATGTGGAGGGTGGACAGATGGTTACAGACATCTAGGATGCCTGTACATAATCATATTCTGTCTTCTAAGATGGGGTTGAAGCCTAAGGCTTTGGAAACCTCCTATGGAGGTGAAGCAGACATAGAGAAATTCATAGAATTTCTTGCAATGCTGGTACATGCATTTTGTAGGGCCAGAATGACCAGGCCTGACTTTAGTGATTGGCAAATCACTTATGCCAGTCAACATGCAACTGACAAAGCTCACTGTTGGGTAGAGCAAAACATTGATCTAGGTAAAACACCTAGAGATCAATGGACGTTTTCCCAGATGATCTGGGGATTATACAATTGCTTCTTCTCAGCAGAAGAAACGTTGAAAGCATATGGTGCTTTTGACAGCTTGTCACAAGGATGAGACACTGTTGAAGTGTATAAGGACAAATTAATGTCCATAATGGGTAGGATGCACAAGCATCCTAACAACCCCCAAATTAAAAGGAGGTTCCTCTTTGGATTGAATGAAGAGATAAGCACCAAAGTGCTTGAGTCAGGTTACAACATCAACAATGAGACATTTGACATGTTGTTTACTTGTGCCATTAGTCTGAGAGAGTACTTGACATGGTACAAGGGTTATGGGCATATAGGAATATGTCCAAAACATTGTCTCCCTATAGAGGGACAACAACAGGTAGTTCAATACCTGTGAGGAGATCATATCCTCAACCTAGCCAGTCATATCATCTGATACAATATGGGGAGAGGCACCCAGAAATGCCCAAACCAGGAGCTGGCCCCTCTAGAGGGGCTCCCATGGAGAAGGGAGTAACTCCCAAGAAAGAGACATATCCCATAAACTACGGGAGGAGACCTCCAACCCCTGGTATATCTGGGGGAGTCAAAAGGGACAATGTTTGTCCCATTGACAATAAGTCAAAACAACTGCAGTCTGGGGGAGGCCTGACTTGTTACATTTGTGACAAGTCTGGTCATTGGGCAAATACTTGCCCTCAATAAAGAGGTGTGCATCTCGCAGCACCCAAAATGATTGGGGGTTTGGAATACATCCTCAAGGATGATGGCATACATGCCATGTTGATGGGACCTCGTCTAGATGATGAACCCAATGATCTTCATCCTGAGGATGATACAGGTGACTATGACCTGGAGGATGAAGAGTTTGATCATCCTCCAATACATGAGTCTGCCAACATTGAAGATGTTGAAGATGTCCCAGCAGAGAACATCATACCCGCTAACATGCGGGTTATGTCAATTAAGCCTGTTGGCTTACCGGTGGTATGAGCAGTATCTGCTCATACTAAGTTTGCAGCTGTGAAGGATGTAAAACCAGAGATCTGGCAAAGGGATGGCACCGTCTGTCTAGGAAGAGAGCAACCTCTTCAGGACAGTGCCACATCATCCCCCATCGAATGCTATATTAGCATCGCTGGGCACCCTGCATTTGCCCTGCTGGACAGTGGTGTGGAGATTGATACAATCTCTGCTGACTTCATCCAAGCCCATGGCTTGGAATATATTAAACTGGATAATCCAGTTGCCCTACAACAGATGA